GGAAACCCCATGAGTCCAGGCAGGGAGGCTGTAAACTGAATGATCCTTGGAATTCATGCAGGACAGGGAGATAGTCCAGTTCCAGCTACACAGACAGTAGAGACTATTGAATATCTGGGCATTTATTAGAGACCCCAGAAGAGTCACACCTTAAACTAGTGAAGGCTACTCTAGGGCCAATCTAATAAAGCTTAAAAAATAAGCCTTGAAAGGATCAAGCTGATCTGTAGTAACCTATCTGTCTGCCAAAGCAAACTCAAAAACTCTTTAAAGAAAGACATCAAAATCCAGATGTGTAATCCCCTTCTCTTGAGTATAGGCAGATCTGTGAATACGACGGGAGATGTGGTAGCCACTCCTTTAATTGGGTTCTATCATATGACAAAGGCGAGAGGACTGACTACCTTATATTGCATAAGACCCTCCATAGCAGCCGACTGGAGAGAGAGTCTCATGTTGCCTTTGAAGAAGCTGCCATGTCGTGAGAAGGTCATGAGGCTAGGACTTGGGGTTAGCCTGTAGGAGCTGAGAGTGATCTAGCTGACAGCCAGCAGAAAAAAATGGGGACTTCAGTCCTATAACCACAAGGAACAGAATTCTGCCAACTAATGAACTTGGAAGATCTTGGGTGTCATATGAGGTCACAGCCCCAGCCAACATCTTGATTTCAGCCTGGTAAGTCCCTGAGTAGAGGACCCAGCTCTAACCCATGCCTAAACTTCCAGCCTACAGAACTGTGGGATAGTAAATGAATATTGGTTTAGGCCACTAAGTTTGTGGTAATTTGTTACACACCAACAGAAAACTAATATGCTTGGAAAGAAGACAACAGTGTCTGCTCTTACCACTTCCCTCAGCTGGAATTTCTAGTCTATGCAATATTTATCAATCAAGGTGAAACAAAACCTATTTCACTGTTATAAGCGATGAAAAATAGCCCTGAAGTATATGAAGTGATGTTCAACTTCACACGATTAGAAAATTGAAATTTAAAGTACATTGAGATACAATTTCTAACATACCAGGTTGGTAAAAATTAAAAAGTGTAACATTCTGTTGTGGAGGCTATGGGGAAACTGGCCCTCTCATGTATTGTTAGTGGGAATGAAAATAAGTACTATCTTTTTGGAAGGCAATTCGATAGTATCCAACAAAACAACAGTATCCAACAACACATAGGTGTGTACCTTTTGACCCAGCAATTCTACTTCTCGAAATTTACCCTCAAGACACATTTCCAACAGTACAAAAATACATATCCACAAGGTTATTCCTAAAGCATAGTCTATAATTACAAAATACTAGAAACAAACTCAATGTCCATACAACAGGAATGGGATTAAATAAACTGTAGTACATCCACATAATAGTCTACAACAATGAAACAGAATAATTAAGATTTCTATGAACTAATGTGGAGTGATTGTCAGGATACTTTGTTAAGTGAAAAAACTGAAGTGCAGATGATCACCTAAATATGATACCTTTAAAGTAACAAACAAGGGTAAATTAAAAAAGAAAAAAATCTCTCCTCGATAGTTCAAAAGAAACACAGGAAGGGCATAGATAGGAATGGGATGGAAAGGATACAGAGAATTATGATAGAAGGGAACGACATTTTTCTGAGGAGAACTTTTTGTATAGTCTTACCTTTTAAAACCATGTTAATATCTCATATTCTTAAAAAAATCACAAGGATAGGAGGAGAAACACTAACACTGAATACAAACAAAACAAATAAACTGACCTGAATTTCAAATGAATAATGTTACTACGCTGAAGAGGATATAAAAAGAACTAACCAAAATAACTTTTGAACACAGTATTTGGGCTTTATGCCTTTAGGCTTAAGACGAGAATTCTAAATTGAACTGAATTAGTAGGTCTTTTCTTTTCAGAGGCATGGGTTAGCAATTTTGAAACCACTTTCTTTTCACTATAGGATTGAACAGTTAAGTAACTTGTTATTGTTGATAATGGGAGCCAGGTTACACATTGTCACTGAGAAGGGAGTTAAAATATGGAAAGAGGTTAGGATAGAAAAGAACGAACTACAGGATATTGGATTGGAATTGGAGATATCAGTATGAGCTCATGGATTTGAAGGAGGCTGATTCTAGGCCAGAGGCAGAGAAACTTTAAGATGAAGCTGAACATCTTGTGTGCTAAAAAATAAGGAAGCACTCAAAGAATGCTAGGGACATGTCAAAAGGGCACAGGAGCCACCTTGAAGTAGTTCCCATTGGCTAAATCTGGGACAATCTGAATACTACAATAAAAAGTGATAGTAGGATTCTAACCTACTGAATACAGAATGATTTCTGAGTCCATATTGATACAGATAGCCTGGAACTGTTATTACTCATATAATTCCATCATTTCTTCTACATTTATTAGTTGGCTTTCAACTGTAAGGATGAACTTTTCCTTTTCCCCTATATTTCTTGTTTATTAAAAAATAGACAGTAAAGTATTCAGGGGAAAAGGGCTTATCTGTAACTTGCTCTTACAACAGTTCAGAAAAAAAATCACATACAGAAACACAAAGAGAAAAAGGAGAAAGCAAACATAGTAAGATTTTAATATTTGGAGAATGTGAGGAAGAGATTTAGGATTTCTCTGAACTATTCTTATAACTTTTCTGTAAGTCTGAAATTATGTTAAAATAAAAAATTTAAGAAAAAGCTATATGTACGAAGGTGTTCATTATAGCATTATTTATAACAGTGAAAACTTCATTCATTTAATAATTACTGGGTATCTTACACTCTACGTAGTGTGCTGGACACGAGGAATACAATAGCGAACAAGCAAGACCAGTTACGTGGCTTAGAGATTGAGAGGTTTCCTGGGATGTAATATTTGCAGGGCTCAAACTGGAAGAGTTGGTCACCCTCGGTTGAACTTAACCATGACGGTAACATATGGAAATGGTTATGAAATTACAGTACAACCGTTTGATATAAGGGCAAGAGTAGAAAAGTAAAAACTATAATAACAGAGGAAGATACTTATTATTAGATGTTAAGCTAAAAATAAAGGATACAGTATAAATACTATTAGAATTGTACATCTATGTACATATAAAAACAGATACAAAGACAAAATAAAAATAGTACTCACGGTGATTGTGTCTTTCCTATTTGAATTTCCTATGTTAAATATTTTAATGATTAAAGAAAAATTTCATTCCAAAAGTTACTAACATTTCAGAAAACTGTCATAATTAAATCTAAATAAATGGGCCAAGTAATTGAGTTTAAGAAAATCTGACTAGGCAGTTAAGATCACCAAAAAATAAAAAAAAATTTTAGCTAGTTTTGAGCATGTATATCTTCTTAAAATTACCTTCTGCCTCAGATTTGTGCCATTTTTTAAGAAATCTGCAAAGCTATTGCTCTTAATGCCTGAACCATTAGGAATTTTTTTTTGGCAAAAGATGGGTATCTTTAAACCTAATGTAATATGACTTATGATTTGTTTGGAAGGTAAAGTACACAATTTACCAGCCAGTGGCAGTCAGGGTAGACAGTAAGTTCCTCAAAGATAGGAATTTTATGTTCCTGGTGCCCAACACAGCGGCAACCAATCACCAACAGTTTGCTTTTTAAGCTGAGGTGCTGAATACTATACACTCTTGAACAGAGGTTTTTAATTTGCCTCTAAGGCATCCAGAAATGGCAAGGCTTGGTAAGGTGGGGACTGATGAGGTTTGTGATTTATAAACCTCCTTGTAATCTTACTAAAAATTGTGGGTATGTCTACTTTGTGAGGGGAAAAGTTTATAGCTGTCACCAAAGTTTCAAAGAGGTCAAAGACCCAAAAGAGGTCAAAAGTACTGTTCTGAATAAACAAACAATATTATGAAAATTTCTAATGACTTAGAAATTTAGTAACTACATAAAGCCATTTATTCAATTTTTATATCATGGTTAGGTCACTTAAAATATGAGTGGAAAAAACCAAATTCCCCAACTCTAGGTTAAATTTAAGCTTGAATATGAAAGATCAAAAATCTGTCCAATGATTTACTAGCATATATCAACCTGGTGAATAATTACAGAATGTCTTCTGCTTTATGTATCACTAGATAACTTCTGATGACAACACTAATTTATTTTAGATGTATCTGGAAAATGTGCCACGTAAAGGGAAAACATTTATTTATTCATTTTATTGTGAATGTGCCAAGCACTGATATTTCAAAAGGAATATTCAGATCTTTTGAGAAGTACAAGGTCTACTGGAAAAGAGAGAAGTATAAAATATAATTGTTTATAATATAGGCAGGTAGAAACAAATAGTTTCCTGAAGAAGCTGAAGAGTATATCCAAGAAGAATTGGTATCTAAGCTGGAGTAGTTTCATCACTAACAGAAAGAAGTGGAGGCTGGGATGGACAACATTTTACGCTATGGGCATGTTTACAAAGGTAGTAGGAATCCTCTTTTGTGTTGAGGATGGGATGGAGAAAAGACTAGTGAAAGATAAGGTCCAGGCTGGATACAGTCTATGAATTCATGATACATTTGGACGTTTTCCTGATTGCAAAAACCTGCAGCTATTAAATGTTTTTAAGGAGAGGAGGAGTTAATTGAAAAAAAGTAACTCTGGGACTTCCCTGGTGATCCAGTGGTTAAGACTCCATGCTTCTACTGCAGGGGGTGTGAGTTCGATCCCTGGATGGGGAACTAAGATCCTGCATGCCATGCAGTGAGGCCAAAAAAAAAAAAAAAAAAAGTAACTCAGGAAGCAACGTAGAAGACAGACTAATGTGGGAAAGAAAAAAGATAAAATCTTTACGTGAAAGTATTCTTTCTGGAAAAATGTATTATGCCTGATTTCTTTTTAGAGTTCAGGTTTTCATATATAACTTTCTTAAAAAAAGCAATACATATTTTTAGTTAAAACCTTAATTTACAACTTAATGGCAGATTCTCATAGAAACTTAGCATGGGCCTATCATTTGCCTAACAGCTGCACCGCCTGGCTGCTGCTTACCTGTAACAGAGAGATTAGTTACCGCAGCACTGGTTAAAGGAAGGACTGGATTGACTGTGAGGGTAGTTGCTGCGCTGCTTGTCACAAGGCTTGGCGTGGTTGCCACCTAGAGGTCAGAAGTGAAAATATGCAGAAGCATTTAAAAATCAAAATTAAAAAATTTAAGTCCATATTGTAGATTTATTTTTCCTATAAAATTTTTAAAATTCCAGATACAATAGAATAAAATAAAAGGGCCTAAAAAGAAGTGATTTTATTAATTACTCTTTGATCTTGGAATTGAGAAAACTGGCTTATGTTGAAAGGTTCCTTTTGAATAGATGGTTTTTCACTGATGTTACTAATGGCTTTGCCCAAGTTTTAAAAAGAAATTAATAAAAACAAATTTCCATATTTCAATAGTGTTTAGCAAGACAGAAATATTACACCAGTTATAAACTTAATCTAAACAAGAAAACTATTCAAGGAGATCATGGGATCTGGGGTTCTTGTATTGCTTCTGTTTTCAACTATGTGGGGACAAGACTGTCTTGGTTTTGTTTTTAATGAAATGATATTAAGGAAAGAATGTAAAACAAATTTTTAAAAACTGACAGTTTGTTTTTGAAATAAGATAAATATTTCTACATTTTTGTAAGAAACACTGCCTTCCTTCTATCCTTCCCTCCTTCTAGAATAAATCCCAAACACAAAATAGTCACCTCCATAAAACAAAACTGTACCTAATGACTATCTTTTTCATAACTACTATCTCATGAACTTTATGATTAAAGCCTCACCATTTAACAACCACAGGCTTCACTTGATAAACTAGTAAGTGCTATTAATGGTGACCTTAGTTTGAAAAGCCTGCCAGTATAGAATAATATTCAAATAAATTAAAAATCAATTAACAAGAAAGTATCAGAAATGCAAACTCAACAATATTCCCATCTTTGGAATCCTGGTTGGAAATGTGGCATCATATTTACAGTTGTCCTAAAGATCAAGGGAGTCACATGACCACTATATGTTCCTTCAGTCTAGCAATACTTTACTCAGTGAGGTTATAAATAAAAGGCCCACATGTTTGTGAAAATCTGAGACAATTGTTTTAATACAAGTTCAGAGCTAAAGGTTATCTGGGAATTTACTGTCACTTAATCATGTATGTGTAAGTTTAATAAATTGGGCTTTAGAACCCAACATGAATAAAGTGCAACTAAAGATTTTTTTAGATAACTGGAATTTGCCACAAATTTACTCCCAGTTACAGAGTAACCTAATAAACTACATCAGAGAAGAGAATAATAGAACTGCAGAGAAACAGGAAAGGATTAAAACTGTTTCCTTTAAAAAAGAAAGATCAGTAAGTTCTTGGGTTAATAATGACATTTAATTACTTTTGTAACATTTAAAATATAAATTTATATATCTTTATTCAACATGAATATACACAATAAATTCCTATAATGAAATAAATTCATTTGATAGGGTATTTGTAAAATTGTAAAAATTAACCCTTGAGCATGCCTCCCTATTTTTCATCCTTACCAGTGAGGTCGGGCTGGGGAAAATTGCTTTGATAGGTGAGCTGCTGGTCCCACCACTGCTCGGTGGGTTGATTCTTTTTTCTTTCTGGCGGCGGTTACAAAACCAAACACGTATCACCTCCTTTTCCATATTAAGTTGATCAGCAATCATGGTGATCTCTTCCGAGGTAGGCTTTTGATTCTGAAGAGGGAAAAAATAAATCACCTTTTGGAAAAACTTTTTGAACTACTGACATAACCATGTCATTAAATGAATAAACAAATGGGGAGGAGGAACAATAAGAGAATGAAATTGGGATATACAAGGCCATATTATTCCACTTTCAACAAAGAACTTCTATAGACACATTCTAATGAACATGTATTCATTAAATGCAGTCATATTAACTTAGAATAAGTTATTATTGAATATTTATATATTTTTTATTTTAAGGGCAATTAATCGTGAATGAAACCAATACCTTATTTATTAGTGGGAATTTAGGAACTTCCCCAGTGCTTCATGCACATAACCTCACTTGGACAATGTGAGGCAGGCCATAAGCCTGCGGGGCATGAAAGGCAGTTATTTTACAGATAAAGGGACTTCAGCTTAGGAAACCACGGAACTTGACCAATCACACAGTTCATAAGTGGCAGAGCAGATAAAGACTCCTGTTTCAACGCTCCTTCCATGGTGCTCAAGGCTTTTCTGAATTAGAGAAGTCAAAATTTTGTTGGAAGCTTTGATTGTGATATTCTCTGGTACCAGAAAAACAAACAAAAAAAACCACACCAAAGACCTGTTGAAATAACTTGAACTCTATAGCTCATCAAGGCCTTCAGGGTTCTGGTTCCAAACACTACAGTTTAGCCAAACCAAACTACTTTTGTTTCCCCTGATGCATGTCATGGCTTTTCTCTCTGGATGCCTCTGCTTGAAGCGCTTTCCCCCCACCTCTCCCTACCTGTGGAATTCCTATGTATCCTACAGCTGCTGCCTGCCTCTCCCACTTTGAGTGCTCACATGGATCTCTAAGCCTGGTCTCTCCTGAACCCTGAAGCACTCTGGTTTTGTTTCCTTATGTTCAGTAACTTACTTGTTCTCATTGTCTCCAATACGTTTATAAGCATCCATTAGGGCTGAAGCTTATAAGTCCATATTTTATGGTCTACGGCAGTGGTTCCCAACCTTTATGGCACCAGGGACCAGCTTCATGGAAGACAATCTCTCCACGGACAGGGGTGGAGGGTGTGTGTGTGTGTGTGTGTGTGTGTGTGTGTGTGTGTGTGTGTGTGTATGGCTCAGGTGGTGATGCAAACGATGGGGAGCGGCAGGTGAAGCTTTGCTCACTCGACCGCCACTCACCTCCTGCTGTGCGGCCCGGTTCCTAACAGGGAACCAGGGACCTCTTGGGGACGCCTGGTCTACGGCACTTAACAATAGTATTATACAGACGATCCCATGTATATGAAAAGTAAAAACCTCACTAACCTCCAAGAAACTCTTCTCTAAGGCCACACGGATGTTGGTCTCTATGCTGGTGCGTTTCTTCCTCCTACGGTTCAAGCCCTCAATTCCCATCCCTGGAGAATTCAGGGCACTTGGGCTGGAGAGAGCCGAATCAGATGAGAGGTTCTCTGTAAGAAAGAAGAAAACACATAAATCAAATCAGCTGAGCATGATTCATGCGCACAATACATGTATTAACAACAACAATAAAACTGACCAAAGTATTTTAGGCTAAAAGCAAGTATGAAAGGTTTTCATAACCTACATTAAAATATTGTTCACTACCATGGATCTTTCTGCTGTTCTTATTGGCATTCTTTGTCTCAGGATGGTTGACCATACTGTCATTGCTATTCTTTGATTCGTTTCTGAGAAAGCAGAAGTTTACTATTCCTATCCTTACTCTCAGCTCTACCTCTTCTGAGTTGTGCTCTTATGTTTTGGTTTTGTTTGCTTATTTATTTATTAGCTCTAGGGATAAAAGAAAGAAAGCTTTTTGGAAATTATCAAATGTTTAACATTTATCTTGCAAATGACCTCTCATTTTATTTCACTGGTATTCCTCCCCTTCCCCCCAAACCAAACAAATAATGAAACATTTCTAAACTATTTAAACTTTAAACAAGGTTCTGTCATTTAACAGTTTAATGACCCTGAGCATGTTACAGACATCTCTGAGTTTCTTTCCACTCTCTATATAAAATGAGATGGAGGGGGCAGACCAGTGGTTCTCACCTGTGGAACTCAGAAAGATTCCAGATGCTGAGGCCATACCCAGAACTACGAAATCAGACTGTCCAAGGTTGGGAGTTACAGGTTTGCCTTTTCCAAAGACCTGAATTTTGTTCATATCTACAATGAGAACCATAGTCTAGGGGATCTCTAGGGTTTCTTATAGCTCTCATAGTCTATGATTCCGTGACTCAAAATTCAAAATTTCCAAAGGGAAACTTCAGCACAAAACACATTAAGTTAAAACTAACAACAGCTCAATTTGTGTATAAAATTGGTGGTCATTTTTTTAAAATTGAAGTATAGTTGATTTACAATATTGTGTTAGTTTCACGTATACAGCAAAGTGATTCAGTTACATATATTTTTTCACATTATATTCCATTATAGGCTGTTATAAGATATTGAATATAATTCCCTATGCAATACAGCAGATCCTTGTTGCTTATCTATTTTATGTATACTAGTAGTTTGCATTTATTAAACTCATACTCCTAATATGTCCCTCCCTCCCTCTCCCATTTTGGTAACCATAAGTTTGTTTCTATGTCTGAGTCTGTTTCTAAATGTATATAGACTCATTTGTATTATCTTTTAGATTCCACATATAAGTGATATCATATAGTATATGTCTTTGACTTACTAAATTTAATATTCTCTAGGTCCCCTCTTCAACTTCCTTCAACTGTCTCTCACCCTGGGCTCAAATACAAGAAATATTCCAAAGCTAAAAATTATTGCTGATTATGTACCTTGTAATTACTAGCCTACTTAAATGAATTAGCTCTCTGATTTATGTAGTCATAATTTATATTGATCCTCCAAAGATTGTGAGCTTCAAGGTTCTGTAGTACCAATAATGTAATAAGAAATATAAACCCCAATTAATACAACAATCCCTCCTATACAATTTCAATGAACAATGAGGAAATGTTTTATACATTCACCCACCTGCATCATTTAGCCACTTCTCCAAAAGTGGCTTTAACTTGCACATGTTCTTAAAGCTGAGGTTCAAGGCTTCAAAACGAGAGATGGTAGTTTGGCTGAAGTCATTTCCATACAGTTTACCCATAGCGAGCCCAACATCGCCCTGCAGAGTAATACAGAAGAGGAGAGGGGAGAGAAAGAGAAGGAGAAAAGATTCATCTAATGTTATGATCTTCACTCGAGGGTGCTGCTCCAATAACCGTTCCAGACAAAGAACCAACAATCATTCCATTTACTGGGTCCTAAAAAAACATCCATTCCTAAGCTGAGCACAGTATTCCAGTGAGGACTCTGTTAGTTAGGTCTTGACTGTGACAACATTCAAAACTGTTCCATATTCCCTCCATCTTGAATCTCTTCTTGCTACCTTATGTAATAATTGAGATATCAAGTGTTTCTACTAACTCTCAAAAGGTAGTGCTGAAATTCTACCAAGTCCCTTAATTGATGCAACCAAAGTGATCTAAGTAATCTTTAAAAATCAGTTAACCTGTATCACCTACAGGGTTAATAGATGTAACTGTCTGGATAACCTTAGGTATTTCTGAACTAACCAAACTTCCCATAAATCACTTTAAAATTTAGAAATAATGCCTCATTCTTTTATTTTTTTCCTGTAAAGCATTTCTGGAAGCAGTGAAAAAAATCTCCTTTCCACCCTTAGTTTGGATTTCAAAGTTTGTTACAAAAACCAGGTATTCTAAAAAGACTACTTTTGTAACCATTATAGAGATAGAAATTCACAGTAGAGAGGTTTGACCCATTTAGTCAAACCTTTATGGGCACTGGAAACTTGGTAACCTTACAGCAATAGAACAATGATCCCCTGAATATATTACAAAAAATATCTTTCTCTATAAGCCTATAACCTTTGAAATGTATAGAGTGCTTTTCCTCCAGCTGAATCTCTCTTGTTAAAGCTGAAAAAGGCATATCTGAATAGTTATTGTATATATAGATAATAGAAGCTCATGGGGTGGAAATAATTCACGCTCTCATTTCAGTTAGTTCAGTGACAGGGCAGAAAAGCAACATTTCTGGTCCAAAATACGACATAGCTAATACCACTAGAGACAGCCAACTCCCAACTATCCTGACAACACTCATTTTGAATTAGGATTATCCCAGTCCTTTGATTTCTCTCCCCTACAACCCATCTTTTGGATAGTACATTGTTTATTAGCACCTGCATTAGGGGTTAGTCAGGGAAAAGAAAACATTTCTTTTTAAACTCCAATTTCCTACTGGGGAGCAACTTCTGATAAAAAGTTTAATAGAGGAGAAATGTTAGAACTGTAAGATAAAATGAGACATTGAGAATACCTGAACTCCAACTGATCTATATTCTAATCTTTCCCATAGGATAGATGGGCATTTAAATAACCACCAGCCACATGTGGTTCTTTAAATTTAAATTAATTCAAAATCAGATAAATTAAAAATTTAGTTCCTTAGCACTACTAGCCACCTTTCAAGTACTCAACAGCCACATGTGGATAGTGGCTATTGTACTGGATGGCACAAATACAGAACATTTCCATCATCACAGAAAGTTTTACTGACACCTCTAAATATACTATCTCACAGAAGTAGAGCAAAAGTAGACTGCTTATTGATTTCCTTCCAATTGTAGTAAAACCCAAAGAACCAGGACAGTGTGAGTAGAGCATAAGTGTTATCCCTTATCTCTATATACAAATATATCTATAAATATATTTATAGATTTTATCTACAGTGTTATCTCCATACATTTATTAAAGCTGACTTCATTTAGTGAACAAATATTCACTAGGTGCCTACTACACGTCAGGCATTAAACTATGCTTTGTGTGTCACATATATTCATGTCTTGGTCACTTTGTTTAGATTACAGCTTCCTAGAAAACTAAGGCCAACTAAACCCTGTAACTCTTTGAATGTAAGACCTGCTGTAGAAGTCAGATGGTAATAAATGTTTTCTGACATTATAATTGCATAATTCACTAAAAATTGTTCACAAACTTCTGTAATACCTTTCTATGAAAAGTAACACTAATGACAATATAAAAAAATGAAATACCTATTCAAAAATCACATCAAAATAAGAAACAATGCCTTCAGTTGGTGGCTGGAAATAAAGCTAGGCCATCAACTAACGCAAACTATGGCAATAAATGACAAATCCACTTAACTGAGATTTATAATACAATTGTACTTCACATTTAAAGGATTTCATTGACTAAAAATCAACAGGTACCTCAGTTAATATACTAATTTTCACTAATTTGATATAAGCTTGGTTTAGTGCTTTTATAACTCACAACCATCTTAGGTTCTCCCCCTCACAAAAGTAAATGTTTGAAGCAGTTGACTCATACCTAATCTGAACTATATTATATCGCTAATCTGAACTATACTGTATCTGAACTATATTACATGTATATATTTTAAAAAGCAAAGGAAAAAAGAAACAAAGACTGGGATTAGGATATAATTAATGTATCACATGTGATGGATGGTGTTAGACTATGGCATGCCTTCTAATTATGTAATGACATCTACAGTAATCCTTAATAACCAATTATAAAGTTAGAAAACAACTACTGTTTAAAACACCTAATAACATGTACATTTACTCAGAGAATAGAGATTTGTTTGTTTGTTTGTTTCAACTAATGACTGGAATGTCTAACTTACCCTCTGTGTGTGTGTATAAATAAATTAGATACAAAGCAATGTTTAAAAAACTATAGTTGAGGTATCTGACTTAAAAAAAAAGGTTCATCTTCCCATTCTGCACCAGTAATTATGTGCCTTAGTCCACACAGTCAAGGTCTGTGAAATGTTGCCACTGCTAAAGTCAAAGTCATTTTGAAAAATAAGGAAGAGCTGTGCCAAATAATAGAATAAAACCATACAGCAGAACACCAGACCATAGGGAAGCTCTTTTATAGAAAAAGGAGAGAGAGAGAGAGAGAAAGAGCAACAACCCTGGCAGTATGTTGGGTCAAATGCCACAAAAAGGCAAACCACTATCTGGGTAAAAGTTAAAGATTTTTAAAGGCCTTAACATCCCTGGCATATCACTCAGGCAACAATCTCCTAGGAAACGTAAGAGTATGCTGTGCTAATAGCCTAAGAGCTGAAGCATTGCTAAACATGCCAACCTTATACTTATTTAAGCTTATTAATTTACCCCTATTGATCTAGTTGTATCTTTTAGCTTTCTTTTTTGAAAACAAGCCACATGGTTTAGATGTTTAAAAAGTACTAAAATCTTTCTGAATTGTAATTTGTTCCTTCACAACTGAGACTCCTCACAAATATAAGTGCATTTTCTCTAAAATTACATCTATTAAAAAAAAACATTTTATGTTCTCAATAAATAGTTTCTTTGAGCAAAAATAAATTACCAAAGAAAGATAAGGAATAAAAGCCTGTTCTTAAAAACACAGGGATGTCATTTTGGAGGAGCCCAGTGACCGCACTAGGCTCACTAGTGAGTAGGTGGCACACTACTGTACTTTCAACATAAAATAATTTGGATAGTATTTAAGTGGTGGCTTAAATTTCAAACAGTAATTATATTCTCTGGGAAAAAACCATCATGTTTCTCCTGATTCCATTAAAATGCCCAATCCAATCTATACTTCAGTAATTTTATTTCACCTAATGATCCTATATCATTTTACATAAATGTCATTCAGTTTAATTCTTTTCCTGCTTTAAAAAGTATTACTTGTGACAGGTTAATTAAAGAGTGAGTCAGTAGGAGTGCTTGGGCAAAACCCATATACCCCAACACCTGTTTAAACCATTAAGCTTATTATACTTTAAAAGCCGTCTGCTAGGTGACATTTTAAAAAATTAATTTGGAATTTTCATCTTCAACAGATTCCCATTTGATTAATCAGTCTCAGTTCGGGCTTATTGTGTGTGTGTGTGTGTGTGTGTGTGTGTGTGTTTCCACCACCCCTTTCTCTCTTCCAAAAAATGGTTTTAAACAAGTCTTTCAAACATTTCCCCTTTCAGCTACTATAAAAGACCTTGTAATCTTTACTCCTCTCAATCTTACACATATGTAGCACGAAGGTCTAGAACCAGATGTTTTTCAAATAACAAAGCCCTCAGTATAGTTATATCATCCTCCAACATAATCTTTTAAATTCTCACCATGTATTGGTATTATTCTAATTTCAGAGGCCTGTGTTCTGAGAGAAATCTTAACGATTTTAACCTAACAATAAATTATAAATTTATAAATGAATACATACGATGAAAGTCTAAACTTATAAATGCAGAAAATGGCTAACAACAAGTTACAGTCTAAAACTGAAAAAGAAGGCTGAGAAATATATTGCTCCTTAGAAGTCTCTTTGGACATGGAAAGCAAATATTTGGACCCAGCCAAGGAGGGAAATCTAAGTTAAAGGTGGGTTCATCTTACCTGAGTGAATCCAAGTTTGATTCGTCTTTGTTTGAAGGTCTTGGCAAATTGCTCAAGCTCCTCAAGGTCACTGGGCTCCTCCAAGCTGGGAGTATCAATTCGCTTTGGTGTTGACTGGCTCTGTGGAAGTGTCTGAATTGGGGTTGCTGCTATTGTGCGTGTTGGGGTGGCTGGCTGCTAGAGAAGGAACAAAAGAATAAGAACAAACATACACCAAGATATTTAAGTTTATATCCGGAATGGCTGCAAGTAAACAATTTAAGGAAATGGCTGTATTCAAGAACTATGAAGACCATGTGTCACTGTAGAAGGTACAACATAATACCCAGTGAGAAAAGCAGAGTGTGATGCTATATACACTACAGTTACGGTTAAGGTTAAACATGTAAGTCTATGGAAAAGACTTGAATACACAAAAATGAAATCCATTGTCTTTGGGTTTTCAAATGGCTTGAATACATGCATCTCATGCCATTTAATAAATCAGTCTTTATTTTTAAGAATCTATATCATAATAAACATGCCACTTAAACTATAAGTTTCAAAACAGCAGAGACCATACCCGTCTTATCACTATCATATCTCCAACTTGTAACACAATATTATAAAAAACATATAAGATTATTAAAACTATTTTAAGGGGGAAAAGTAAATCACCTACAGTTTAAATAACAATAGCTTCACTTCAGTCTACTTGTTCAAGTTTTCATCCATAGAGCTACATTTTTTATGCTGTTTTTAATTTGTTGCACTAAATTTAATCTGTAAATGTTTCTCACAAATTACAATTTTCAAATCTCTACTAACAAGGCATACATCCCACAGATCGGAGTAATTTTTAAAATATGATTAATACATTGGAATGGACCATAGGGCATAAAATCGAAGAGTGAACTTTTTTTATTTAATTGAGGTATGACTGACATACAAAAAAGTTGTACACGTATAATGTATACATCTTGATGAGTTTGAAGATTAAATAAACATCCATGAATATATACCATCACCATATACAATGCCCTAAATTTATCCATTACCCCTAGAAGTTTTCATCCTCCCTCAGATCTACGTTCTTAACCTTAACTGTAATTATGGTAACATAATTTTATACTCTGCTTTTCTCACTTAACATTATGTTTTAATTTTTTTCCCTATGTTGTTTCAATCATTGTAATTATCATTTTCAAAGGCTGACTGAAAGGCAATATTATCATAATTTATTTAACAACTTCTTCATTGCTAGGCACTTTTTCATTTGTTTTCACTAACAGGCAACACCACAATGAAAAACTCTTGTGCATACAGTTCTGTTTTCCACCTTTGTAATTAGTTCTTTGAGATAAATTTACAAAGGATTTTCTATAACTGGATAAAGAGTACACCATAAACAATTTCATGGCTTTTGGTATACATCATACATAATGCTGGTTCTCACTATACCATGTTCTCCACATGATTTGTTTTAGCAGTTTTAAAAAATGTTTTGCTAACTCAGGGAGTAAATTGTACTTTCCTGTTTCCTTAATTCATATTTCTCTTATTACTTAAAGCCAAATTTTCCCCACATGTTAATTATTATCTGTATTTCGTTTCATGTGAATTGAACTCACATCTGTAACCCATTTGTAATGACATCCTTACTCTCACCCTTATCCTTAAAGAGCTCAATCAAATGTTATAGATAAAGCCTTTGTCTGTTGTATTAATACAAGTAATTTTCCCAATCTGCTTTTTTCCTTTTATTTTTCAGTATACATAAGTCTTAAATTATAATTTGGGTGAACTTTTGTTTTTTTCCTTTCTAATATCTTCTGTTGCTTCAAATCTGAGAAAGCTTTATTTCTAACTTGGATAAAATTCCTTTTAATATTCTGCTAGCTTCTTCTATGTCTTTTAAAATATTTAATTATTGAAATCCATCTAAAGTTTATTTGCAGATATGAGGGTAAAATCTATTTTTTTTTTAAAGAAAATATTAAATCTCCTTATTACACAAACACAAGGCTACACTGTTTTACTCACAACCCCTGGGTAGAACCCAACCTTCTGAGTATTCACTACTGGGACGTGCTGCCCTGACTCTGCATCGTAACTGCTCAGTTAACCCTTCCTGTGAACAGAAGCCCAGGTGAGAGATTATAGGACAAGATTACAGATGAAGTCCATGGCTATGTGCTTTTCTCTTGTAATTTAAATGGGTCATATACCCCTAACTCTGACCCCATTAGTAATATGCTTTCTCCAACTGAACTAACTGGCCCTGAAAACTGCACAAGAGGAATTACACAGGCCTACACCTCGGGTAAGCTCCTCTCTATCATCCTGCTTCAATGAAGACAACAAAATTTATCTCTCTGGCATGTTGACAGTGAGAAAACTTTAATATGACCATCTGGAGGAGCCCAAAACTGTACCAACCATATTAGAGTCCTATGTGGTTGTAATTTCCCACTGAAACTGGTTGATAAGTAGAGGTGAGTCTCAACTATCAGATGGTTGCTTCATTTCTAGGCTTGAAGTAGGCCCGTTCTCAAATAATATAGGACTAAAAATAGCTTGGGTATCTTTTGGTGGGGTGGTTACACATAAGTTACCCCAACTCCAGAAACCTCAGGCTGGACTGGGCCAGAGCTAGAAATAGTAGAGTAAAATTCAGTGAGCAGGAGTCCGGATGAAGCTACAACAGCCCTGCCACTGTTTACAAAGCTCGTAGGCCAGGAAGGAATTGCTGGTATAGGCTTTTTTCCAACATCATTTTTATAATTCAGCTTATTCACAGTTAAGTGCACCATTTAAAAGTGTACAGTTTGATGTGTTTTGACAACTATATAGTCATATAACTGCTACCACAATTAAGATTCAGAAAATTTCCATCACCCCCAAAAGTTTCATTGTGTCCTTTGCTGTCAATCCCCACCCCTAGCCCCCATCCCCTGGCAACCACTGACATGATTTCTGTCCCTATAGTTTTGTCTGCTGTAAAATGCCATATAAATTGAATCATAGAGTATACAGTCTTTTATGTTTGGCTTCTTTCACTTAGCATAATGCTTCTGAAATTCATACATGACGTTGAATGTATCAGAAGTACATTTCCTTCTATGGCTGAGTAGCATTCCATCATATGGATATGCCAAAATTCATGTTATCTATTCACCAGCTGATGAATGTTTAGGCTGTTTCCACTTTGGGGTGATTACGAATAAAACTGCTATGAACAGTCAGTCATACACAGGTCTTTGTGTGGACAGATGCATTCATTTCTAAGAGTAGAACTGCTGAGTCATAAGGTACATGTATATTTAACTTTATAAGAAACTGCCAAGATGTTTTCCAAAGTGTCTGTACCAATTTGCAACCCCACAGGCAATATATAAGAGCTGTAGTTGCTTTATTTTCTCATCAACACTTGGTATTATTATAGTCTTTTTAATTTTGCCATTCTAATGGGTGTGTAGTGATATTTCTTTTGCATTTTCCTGACGACTAATAATTTTGAGCATCTTTTCATATGCTTATTGGGTATTTACGTGCCTTCTTTGGTGAAGTATCTTCAAATATTTTGCATACACTCCCTTTTAAAAAAAACCACGTTGTCTTATTGAGTTGTATGAGTTCTTTATATATTCTGGATACAAGTCTTTTATTAGATAAAAGTTTTAAGAATATTTTCTTCCAGTCTGTGGCTTTTCTTTTTGTTTTTTCAACAGAAGCTTTTAATTTTTATGAAATTTAATTTATCATTTGTTTTCTTTTACAGTTAGCGCTTTTTGTGTCCCACTTAAGAAATCACTATCTTACACAAGGATACAAAGATTTTCCCCTAAGTTTTCTTCTAGAATTTAGGTCTGCAACCCTTTTCAAATTAATCTTTGTGTATCATTGTGAAATAAGGAGTAAGGTTCATTTTTTTTTTTTTTTTTTTGCCTATGGCTAGCAAATTGTTTCAGCACCTGAAACAAGACTTTCCTTTTCCCACTGAAATCCTTAGGCACCTTAGTGGGAAATCAGTTGGCTCTATGTGTGTGAGTGTACTGGACTTCTGTTCCATTTCTATTCATATGCCATTACCACACTGTCTTTATTACTGTATTTCATAATAATTCTTGACATCAACTTTCTTAATTTTCAAAATTGTTTGGCTATTCTATGTCCTCTACAATCCTGTACAAATGTTAGAAACACCATGCAAACTTCTACAAAGAAAGCCTGTAGATATTAATTGGGACTGTGTTGAATTTATAGATCAGTTTGGAGAGAACTCACATTTTAACAACCAAAGTCTTCATGAACACATTATATCTCTCCATTTATTTAGGTCTTCTTCAATTTTACTCAGCAAGATTTTGTAGTTTTCAATATATAGGTTTTACAAATGTTCTGTTAAATTTATCCCTAATTACCGTAAATATTTTTCTTCTTTATTTAAATTTCCAAATGCCTGTTGTTAGTATATAGATTTTTGTATATTGACTTTGTATCCTACATACTTGCTAAATTTAACTATTAATTCCAGCAACTTTTTTGTAGATTCCTTGGATTTGGATTCCTTGGATTTGGATTTTCTACATAGACAATCATGTCATCTACCAATTAAGACAGTTTACTTCTTCCTTTCTAATCTATATGTCCTTTATTTATTTTTCTTGTCTTATTGCCTTGCTAGGCCCTTCAGTGCAATGCTGAATAAAAGTGGTAACAGTGGACATCCTTGTTCCTGATCTTAGGGAGAAAGTATTCAGTCTTTATGATGGTTTATTTGTAGATGCCTTTTAGCAGGCTGGGAAAGTTACCTCCTAATTCCTAGAAGAGTTGTTATCATAAAGTTGTTGAATTTTGTCAAATCTAGTAATTTGTTAGCATTAACTGATAACTTCCACGATTATGGACAAAGAGAATCAGAGATGGAAGGGGAATTCAGGATCAGCTAGTTCAATCACCTAATTTACCTATGAGGAAACAGAGGTGCAGAGAGGTGAAATGACATGCTCAAAGTCACAGCTAGGAAAGAAACAGAACTAGATCTAAAGCTTAAACCTCTAGACGCCTAGACCTGCCTAGACCCTCTAGATGCCTTAAACTCTGGTAAAAATTAGCTAAAGCAACATCTAAAAGTTGAGATGGAATAAAACACAGAGATAAGAGCTTCTTTGAAGTTTCTGAGAAGGAGCAAAGGGCAATGATAGGTTTTAACTCAGGCTCTAGGTCTAGCTCAAGTGGTAATCTCTACTGTCAAATATCAGGGTGGGGAGGGTGGTCAAACAGCCAGAACTCATTAATCATTTGGTGCTAACACAGTTATTCTTTATGAAAATATAAGAAAATAGGGACTCCTTGAAGATTTTCAAAGACTACATCAATTTGGTAGCACTGCTTTATCAAGCTGATAAGCCTAGCTTTGAAATTTTGGTGAGTTTTTTAAAACTATTTGAATTATTTTTATTAAGGGGTTGTGGTTTTAAGTTAAACAAATCCCCACAGAGTCTCAAGACAACAGGATAAAAGAAAGCAACCCTCATGGAAGAAAACCGACCTGGGAGGTGAGGGTGATGCTTGGCTGCGACTGTAGGAGGTTGGCTTGGCTTTGCTGAGGTAGTTGCGTTAAAAGATTTTGCGCTTGCAGGAGACCTGTAAAACACAAACATGTTATGTCAAACATTAAAGATTACCTTGAACAAATGGCAAAAGAAAAAATGAGAAAGTGAAGTGAAAATTTCCAACTGATCCCCAGCTAGGCTTACTGGTCTTAAAACTCTTAATGTCTTATTTGCCTAAAATTCAGTCTTGTTAAATACAATTTGGGCAATAAGATATGGAACAAACTAAAACTGGTAGATGTCTTTAGCGTAACCTGAATAACCTCTCTGATTGGCCAATTCTTTATTTTACCAAGGAATGGATGAAAGTGAAGAAGCATTCTAAATGGAAGCAGCTTGAAACTCCAAAAAAAAAAAAAAGCTCAACTTCTTAACCCAGAAGCCATTAGAAACAGTTAGTATATGCTGGGACAGAGAACTATCTAGTTCATTAAAGGTGCAGGCTATCCTATCCATTAAAAGTGGAATAGGTTATTTATACAACAAAAGATTTTGGAATGAATGATCAAGAAGAAAAAAGGCTAAAAACCAGAAATAATGAGGAATCAATAGAGATGCACTAATGTTCCTTGAGTTGAAGCCTTGATACTCTGATACTGTCTATACTGATTCCATTACAAAACATGATTGAACTTTATACAGCAGTAACACAACAATATTCAGCACTAAAAGGCCTTGAAGATGTTTTTTATAATTCACAAAATTTGCACAATTTCTAACATGACACTCTCTCCTTCTTAAACTTTAAAAGAAAACAAATGATTGTTAGAAGCGTATACTTACAATGCTCAGCCCATTCTTTGAACACATTCCCATGAAAAACTATCAAAACATAAAAGCAATTTATCCAATGTATGTTCAGCATGTTGAAGGATTTAATTTAGAATTTTGGCCAAACCCATGGTCCTCCTTACTGATTAAACAGATGAAAGGCAGTGAAGGATGACCTTCAATAATTAGGTATGCATGACAAAAAAAATATTTTTCTCAACCTGAATACTGAGCTTAAAGTTAAATAAAATTTAATAAAAACACTGTTCTAATGGACAGCTTCTGGGCCAAAATGACAGTAGTCAGCATGTATGTCACACAAGTGGACAGCCTTGGTGTACCGTACCACTAATAAGCTCTAAGGAGGCGCTCACCCTGCTGGCCCTGGGGCGTCTGTGAGATGATAAACTGCGCTGGTTGCAGGTTGGTGGTTGGATGTACCAACACAAACTGTTGCAGGTTGAGATTCTGCTGCTGAAGTTGTTGCAGTTGTTGCAGATCCTAAAAAATTAGGATTAAAACATGGATTGGAGACTCTGAAATAAAAGCTTGCTTAATCTTAAGGTTCCCAGATGATGAATTCTGTCATCCAAATAAAGAAGAGTTAATATTTGACATTCTTATAAACTCCCAACAAGGATGTGCTCTGGGTGCATTCACAAAGCATGTGAAGAAACCTGGAGCTGCTACAAGGACTTGTTATTTCTGTGGGCATACATTGTGTCGTGACTTATGCTGTATCTAATTTTCAACAGTTATTTAAAATTCCCTCAGAACAAATGCTTATGGTTGTGTTTTTAACATGTAGAGACCAATATGGGTTTTTCTCTCAAGTGAGAAAAGAATAGGTTCAGTTTTTAGGTGTTTGATTAGAGTTTTCTCTTGTTAAGCAAAAATTGAGAGTGCTACGTCTGAACTTGCATCAATAAATTAAAAGATTTATAATGATTCATGAAATGTGGCACCAGCCTATGTAACTCAACTGAGAAATCAGTGTAAAAATTTTTTTAAAAATAGCTATCCATATAAAAATCTGATCTACAACATATTAAACTTGCTTATATTGGCCTAGTATTTTATAATTTTCAACATACTTTCATGTATATTATCTTATTAGAATAATGTCAACATAGAGTCTCACAGCTTAGGCACTAAAAACATTTATTTGGTGATGAAAAAAATGGCCAAAATAAAAACATGATCTTGATAAAGATTGTATATAACAGTCATAAAGATTAGCCTGACATCTATTCTGTACACTTTTAGTTAATTGGTTCTTTTTTAATGTTTAGTCAAACTCCAGCTACAATTTAAGTCTATTTCTGAGCCTTCTCTGGGGGGATAAAGATAATTATCTGCACTAGACTCATAATAACTCTTCATACATTTCACTGATATGACTACTTATACTTTTTTCCTCTCCTTGAGATAAAGGATTTCATTTAGCTTTTTTCCTCCTTGGTAGAACTGTCTATGCCTCTTAAATAAATTTTTATTATCTCTGGATACTTTGCCCTAAAATGCGAAAATTAAAGCCAAACAACACTCTAATGCAATTCTGCACAGAGCTAATCACTCTAGCAGAAAGATCGTCATGACGTGCAGTTTCTCTCACACATGGGTGGCAACATTCACTGCAGAGCACATGAAAGAACCCATGCCTGCTGTAATTAGCTAATTAAAATAAATACAGTAATCCCCTGCTTCAGAAATATGCCAGCCAATTATTCAAGAATTGTCACTTAAACAGTTATTCAAATAATCAGTTATGTGTTTATAATATCAACTCAAATAAGCAAACAAATGTATTATTTCTAGTTCAGTGGTAAAGAAGGCTACACCACTTACCTCACACTAACAATCAGAAAGTAAGCTTAATACCAAAGAAAACCTGCCATTTTATTCCTCCCTTCCTGCCCCAGCTATGAGAGTTACTCACTCACCTGTGCGATCTGGATGGGCTGAGACAGGGGGATCTGAGTCATGGGCGTGGCGGCGGAGGCTGAGATGGTGGCCCCAGCAGCACTGTGCTGTTGGCTGGCGGAATGCTGTTGCACTGCAGCAGCCAGCAGCTGTGCCTGTGCCTGTGCCTGCTGTAGTAATAACTGTTGCTGGGCTGGCGTCAAAGTCAGCTAAACAAAATCAGGACAAACAGTCGGAAAGGGTTGAAGGAGACTGGCCTCTAATGCAAGGCCACTGTTTTGAAGTAAGCAACTCAAGTGGTATCAAACCTTAGCTACCCAACTTCACATGGTTAGCATGAGGCTAAAATAAAATGTTCATTAGCCATCAAGCTACCAGGACTAGCAGACCATTTAAATTAAAATGGTGGTCCTCACTCTGGACTTAATCATTCAAGCTTGTCCAAGGCCCTAGGGTTCAGGCAAAAAAGTAATTAACTAGTAAGCAAGAAAAAAAAGAATCAATGCTGACAGGATATGAGAAGAAATTTACACCCAACAGAACAGCAAGTGATTAGTCAGATGAATGAGGAACAAGGATGCTGGATCTGACCAGGAAAGAACTGATAAGGCCCAGCTGCTTCCCATTAGCATGAATCCCTGCCATATTCCATCATTTCATTATGTCCTAAGATATGACTAAAGAATATGAGGTCCATTTGTTTCTTTTCCAAGTCCCTACAGCCTCCTCCCCAACAGCCTTTTCTGTTATTGAAAGCATTGGGTCTCTGCAACTTTACATCCTCTTTCCAACACATTATCTCTGTGAAACAGGTGGTGACAGCCGCTCTCTTTACATGCAAATGAATCCTAATGCCCAAGTTTAATAGAAGCTCCAGCCATTCTGAACCTGGAATCCCAAGTGTCTCCAACTATTGTAAACACTAGTCACTCAAAACAAACCCCAAAGAAAACAGGAAATGTATTTGAAGATTTAAACTTGCTTTCATAGTACAACTTATTTCAAACACACTTAAAGTGATAAGTATGTTCTACCTTCTTTTTGGTGACATGGTCTGATCAAACCAAGAAGGAATATTCTGAAGCGCATGTACAGTCACTTAATGGCACAATCCTCTTTCAAAAAGGGTCTGATACAGTTTGTGCATTAGAGATATAAGAATCAAAATCAAATCATTCAAAAACCCAATACGCTTCGAGATACACGTTTATAAATATTTTATATAACATGTAAACATATATTAATCTCTACTGATGGGATTTCGTAAACAAGTTTGCAACAGTTCTTAAAAGAGCCTTCCATCACTGCCAAAACAAACTTAACTGAAATGAAGGAAATAAAAAATTTTGTGGGTTGACGTGATGTGAATCGAATAACAAGTAACTTACCACTCCTCTTGACCCCCCCAAAAAGATAACTTAATAGACAAATTGTCAACATTGGAAAAATATTTTTAATGATGTCTCAGAGCGAAGACAGCTCAAAAGTTAAAAGCTTAATATATTTGCACAGGCCAATTTATTATTGATAAAAACAGATGACATTTATTGAATGCTACTACATGCCAAGCACTGTTCTATGAGTTTTATGTATGTTATTACTCTTAATCTTTAAAACAATACTGTTAGATAAATATTATTACATCTTCATTTAACTGAAGGAAAACTGAGGCACAGAGAGATGAAGTAATTAGCCAATACAGTAAACTACAGAGCCAGGATATGAGATCAGAAGTTTCATTTTAGAACACTATACGGTAACTTAAAATGTTTTTCTTTTGTAGGTACTAATCCATTACTCTGCAGTGATGTTATAACTCCAAACTGACAACTACAATTTCATCACTGTAACTGTCTCAACCATGGGATCGTGACGCCACTGCATGATGAAGCAACGGTTGAAACGTGAATTTTAAAAAGTCCTTAGTTTACCCAGAGCATATCTGCAATAGTAAGAAAAAATACCCTGAAAACTCGTGACAAAGATAGTTCCTTTCTCAGAGCTGCTTACGGTGCAGGAAGTTCCTTTAAAGACATAACAGTGCCAGGCATAGCCATGTTACTACTGTCTGCTACAGCCAACAGATCTAATCAGATATTGACCAATGGCAGTTTTTTTTTTTGAAAGTTTTGGATGTGGACCATTTTTTTAAAGTCTTTATTGAATTTGTTACAATATTGCTTCTGTTTTATGTTTTGGTTTTTTGGCAGTGAGGCATGTGGGACCTTAGCTCCCTGACCAGGGATCAAATCCACACCCCCTGCACTGGAAGGCAAAGTCTCAACCACTGGACTGTCAGGGAAGTCCCCCAATGGCAGTTCTGACACAGAGAAAGTTTGTTACAAATTTCTCAGTGAAAACTTACCCCAGTTATCTGTCCTCCAGCCAGCATGAGCTGGGTCTGGGGAATGGCTGCCTGCACTGAAGGCTGCTGGGAAGGCTGGCTTGGCTGCTGTGAATCCCCCGATTCTTCATTAGATTTAGACTGAGGTGGGGCGGGGGGAATAAAAGATTTAAAATAGTTGATTTTAAAAAAATGTACTCACAATTCCATGTTTTAAGAATTATTTACAATACAGACTTATCTAATCATGAGTTTTCTGATTTCACTCTTTTCCTTTCTTCTAAACCTTTGTATTTTCCTAATTTTATGTATTAAGTTTTCAGACTTTTTGTTCCAATATCAGCAAAGCTGCAATTATAATTTTTAAGAAGAAAAAATAATTTGGTCCTCCACAAGTCAACAGAATTTTTCACAAACCCAAATCCTCAACTCTGGAAGTAAGGAGTACGTGAAGAATACAATTTCAACCTATGTTTACATTAGACAGACCCTCCATTCCAACATTTTGACATGTCTTTGGTGGTCAGTCTAAAACTTCCTTATATACCATCTTATAAATTGATTACTTGACCCACAGAACTTTTCATCTAATATTTTGAAGAACTATAAATTTAGCATCCCCCATCAAGTAACACACAAACTTAGAGAGAAAATGCTGCAGTCAAGAGGGAAAGAGAACATACTCCTGGAAAGGGGCACTGAGAGAAAATTTTATGGTAATTAAAACTGGTTACGCAGAGCATGAAAATTCTGCATAGATTTGCATATTTCCCACCACCTGTTTTGGGGACTGCAGCAAGGCTAATTAACATAAAGGCTCTGATTAATTCTGCCAGTCATTGAGAGATAATTACAGTGCAAGACTGTAAACATTCCGCACTGGAGATTCAGCCTGTTTGCCAACATCTCTCTAAGGGATGAAAGTTTACCATGGAAACCAAGGCAATTTTCCGCCTCCTCTCTCTCAGAAAGGAAGGTCACATTATCCCCTTTTCTTTTCTCTTCTTGTCTCCATGTGTTACTAGGCCCATACTCTACTCGGTTTCATGGAATGCTCAACCGAAGGTCTTTAGTCATTAGCAACACTGAAATCAACCTTCCAGAATACTGTTTTTTCCTCTTGACTGTTAGTTACCTAAACACTATAATGAAAGGAAGCAGCAGGTTGACTGAAATATTATGGAGTCATGCATAATACTTGAACTCTGCACGTTTTACCATATGGTTCATAGAAACAAAGCACCCAGATTTAAGTGTTATCTTCAAAATTTTGACTGTATGAAGCCCATTAATGTTTATAAATATGTTTAATTGCAATCCTCAACCTCACAACATTTTAGAGCAGAGAGGACCTCTGGCAATCTTCTAAATTTCCCCACTTAAATACACGCAGTTGCCCCTTGGTATCCACAGAGGATTAGTCCCAGGACCCCCCATGGACACCAAAATCTGTGGATGCTAAAGTCCCTCACAGTCAGCCAGCCCTCTGTACCAGCAGATGTGGAACCTGGGGAGGGGAGGGCCAACTGTATAAGAAAAAAATGCGCCTCAGGAGGTTAAGTGACTTGCCAAAGTTCAAACAGCTAGTTAGTGGCAGAATGAGAATTCAAACCTAGGACCTCTGTCTTTCATTCCAGTGCTCTTTCCTATACTATAGTGTTTTCCTAAGATATGAAAAATGATAAATAAAAATATACTTGGAAACAAAAGGACATTTAAGGTATTCTTTTGCTTTGTGTTTAGGCATGTGTTATGGCTGTACAACTGAGAAACATTTTTACCGAACTTACATATAAAACTTTAAAAGTAGACTTTTCTTGTTCACCTTTGGACATTCACAGTGGAATAATATAAAATGGATTTTCATTAATGGCAACTATTATCATTATTTAAATCTTTATGAGATTCAGTAAGAAAAAAAGTAATAATTCTAAGTATTTTCATTATAAAATTATTGTATACTCATTGCAGAAAATTAGAAAAATATGGTAAAAATGAATAGAAAAATTGATCCATAATCCCATATCCCAGCTTACCTGTACATTTAAAGACTGAGCAGCAGCCTGTAAACTTGTTCCAGCGAGCTGGACCTATTAAGTAAAGAAATCGGGGAAGTTCTAGTCTAATACTGTTGACATCCATCATTAGAGGTGGTCATCAACAAGCCTCTACAAATGTATGTTTTACTGAGTTAGAACCAAGCGTTATTTATAGTGTATTCCTTCCCAAAGTATATAACCTGATCTAATTGTGATGAAACATCAGACAAATCCAAATTGAGCAACATTGTACAAAATAACTGGATTGTTATATAAACTAGGATAGAATACATGGAAACCAACCCTAGAATGGCAGCAGTGGGAATTAGAAGTAGGAAACATGAACAGTATTTCAAGGTGCTACATAGGATCATGGCAACTGACTGGATATAGATGAAGAAAAAAAAAGTCATGTATTATTCCAGGTTCAAATTTGGAAGACTCAGAAAATGGTAGTGTCATTAACATGAAGATAAGAATTCCATTTTGGATTTATCACACAGCATCAAGATTTCCTGAACTTAAATATAAGTGTTGGTATGGAGATCAGTATAGAGTTCAGAGCTAACTAAAATTAACTGAGTGCGGTGTCCTTTATTTAAACTGAAAGTCCTGTGAGTTGAAATAAGAACGCTCCCCCCAAATAAAAAACAAAAAAGAGAGAGAAAAGAGAAAAAAGCACCTAAAACAGAACAAAATCCAGAGATTTCTGGAGAACACACTTTAGACATAGTATAACCAAGGGAGAATTATATGAAAAGATAGTATGTTTAAGATTAAAGGCTAAGAAGTCAAAGAGCCAGAGGAAAAGAGTTTCAGGTACAAAGATTTAAAGGAGATAAAGTTTCTTTGTAATTTTATTTAAATCATGATGTTTCTGGGTAGAAGTCTGTTGAGGAACAAGATATTTACAAGTCTTAAAGTATCTCCTCATTATTTACTAATTATGAGGAAGAAAGTTACCTTTACAGTAGACAAATCTGAGACTCTACCTTAATCAAATGATCAAATTCAGTATCACAATAATGGGACAAGTTGACATATATATAAACACACAAAATGTATGTGTACAAACACACACAGATTAAGAATATATGGTAATAAAGTAACAATTAGTGATGCCAGATGAGCTTTTGGTTGAAAATTGTTTTACGGTTATAACTTTTCTATAGATTTGAAAGTTTTCAAAATAGAAAGTTGAAAATAAAAAGTGAGAGCATCCCTTTACAACTCCATTTAGCTAGCTCCCAACAACCTTTAAAACTTGGCTCAAAAATCATCCTCTCTACGATAATGTCTTAGAGACTACACAGGATGAGTTAATCATTTCTTCCTCTGTATTCCCATATATTTTACCATTCATTCATTCATTCATTTGTTCAACAAATAATTATTGAATATCTACTATTTTATGTCCATATGTGCTTTTCATTGAACCTCTACCACTAATACCATCAGGCACTATCATCACTAAAGTCACTACCACCAACACTGCTGACCAACACAATTTGAACACTAAATTGGTTCTAGGGTTTATCTGAGGTAAAGATCACCAAGTTACACAACGTATTGCTCTAATAAGTCATAAATAAATTTATCATAAATAAATCTTGATTTATGCTAATATAAATCAAGGGGTTGAGACACTCTGATAATCTATCTCCCAAATGTTTTCATTGTTTTATTTACTTTCCATTTTCAACCAGTTCCCACATCCCAAAACTCTTGGGGAGTCAATGTTTGTTTTTATATTCTCCTTCCCTATACCTTAAAGCTAAAATGTGGATGAACAGAATCCACAGCCTGTTTTAGACTTGGGAGAAATTCATGTAACATAAGGGTAATAAAGTTGAACCCCAAACCAGGGGGTTCACAGTCAAGCAAAGGCTCTGAGTAGCCCAAATCAAAATGGTCTGAAGCTGTTTTAAAGAAGGGCTATGAGCTGTGAGCTCAGAGCCTTACAGAGCAGGTCTCAGGCAATGGGAGCTACATCATTTTGGATGACTTTGTCATTTACTACCTTCAGTCAGCCACCACAGACCACACTCACAAAAACAGTAACCCAGTTGTCATAAATATATTCTGTTTGTAACAAGGAACTCTTTTGTTCACACAGCTGTGGGGTCAATAGCTATACAGTCAACTAAGCTATAGGATTCCATACTAACCATTCAGAATGACATGATTAGATGCTGATAGCACCAGGCTTTAATCAACTTAAACAGTCCCACATTCTGAAATCGCTTCCCCAGGCCCTAGCATTCCACGCCTCTGTTTTATACTCTCACATATGGTTGAGCAGAACATTCTACCTGATGGAGATGTCCAAGGAAAGCCTGGGCCTGGGCTGTTGAGATTGCTCCTCCAACAGGCACAGGCTGCTTCTGAAAGTCCAGACCATTGGTTTGTGTGCCTAGAAAGCAAGCAAAATAATATAACTATTAAAAATACAAAAACTGAAATAAGCACCAGACTTTTCTTAAAGAGGTGCATTTATCAAGCACCTATTTTGTATAAGCATTTTTCTAAGTACCTCCAAGGAGGAGAAGAGATTCAAAAGAACAAGGAAATACAGTAAAATGATTTTTCTTCTAAAGGTAGTACTGTAGGACAAGTACATGAACACAGATAAAGCTTAAGAAACAGAAACAAAATTATAAATAATGAATTACAATCATAAGATTGTGTTAGTTCAGAAGGGAAAGCAGTGACTGGAGAGCAAGTGGGGTCAGAACAAGCATGAAACCTAAGGTGGCTTGAAGAAGAGATTATCATTATTATACTGTCGTGAAGACTGGTAGAGACAGAGTTCTAAGGGGGGTACCAAGGCTCTCTTCTAGTCTCTCCCTTCTCAGTACTTGGCTTGGACAGAAGAAATTCACAGGTGACTTTGCCAAGACCGAGATGAATTTACTCTTAACTTAAAATGCCTTAATAAATGACAATCTGACAGTAAAAGCAATCATTTACAAGATAAACAAAATGGTTTTACTAATTTCTTCAATCCCAAAGTATAGATTGTGGCGTGCATCTAATTAGCAAGGGCTCTGCTATCATTATAATTTTCTAAATGTTATGCCAGTGCCTTTAACCACATATACTGCAATCTAATGTTAGGATAGGACTAATCTATGGAAAGACATACCACCCTAATACCCAGAAATATTTTCTAAGTGATATAATTCATTGTTTTAAAATTACTATATCCAGCTCTTACTTAGAAATAACCAGAATACTTTGTACTGAATAAAATATAACAGACTATGGAAACCTGCAAGAATCACTGAGTCATGTGAACATGGTACTGAGCTTCCATTTCCTACCACTGGAACACCTCATCTTCTCATACTCACCCGTGTGTACACATAGAGCAGACCAGTTAAAAGAGTACAAGTTAGAAACCTCAGGCAGTATTTCTAAAAGGGTGCTAACTGCTGCCATTATATATCCTAGCTAACTGCTAGCAAATGTATCACTTTAATAGAATAATTAGGTAGATCACATGACTCACAGAGCTATTTAAGGTTTCTTTGAGATACTTATTAAAAAAGTGTACATATATTTCACCTCCTTGAAAAATCCCATAGCGATTGTTCTCTTATGGTTTTTCCTAAAATTTCTCATAGATAGGAAATATAGAACTACTTAGACATATACAGCTAATGGAATTAAAAGAGTACATGCTTGTGTCAAGTAGTGAGAAACTAGTATGAAATAAAATTTAAGGTAACTAGGGTCACTTCCATAAGCCACATAGAGAAGTTTCACTATTCTAAAGTTGCACATTTTGTCATTAGCTGCTGTCTCTATCTTGATGTAGGAAATCATTACTTAAACATCAAGATTTTAAGATTGTGCACCATTAGAGAAACATGCTCAAGATATATTAAATAAATCAACAACACTACAAGAAGATAAGATTTTGAAAAACAGAGACAAGCACTTAGAGATTAACATATCACCAAATGAAGATGTCTTCCAGAACCAAATATTTCACTCTCATGGAGACCATAAAAATTCCACACACTGGTTCCATTTTCAAGTTCTCATAAAAATGATAACAAGCTTCTTGTAAATCACAAAGAACTATATAATGCAAGACTGACTCATTTCTGGTATCCCTGATACAAAGCCTACTCCAGTGTCCTACAGGTAATACTATTTAAGTGCCCTGGCTCAGCCTCTTGGGGTTGGGGAGGGGTGGCATAAAGATATGGTATCCAAAGCATGGTTTGGTGAAAAAAATACTTAGACAACAACTCAGATAAGCAGAGGTCTAAGGCAGGTATTTTTTAAAAAATTAAGGTGTTGAGGCTCCACTGGGAGGTGAGAGGTAGAAGAAAGTAGACATTACATAGAAATCATTCTTGTAGAACATAACGACATAATCTGGGCTAAAGAAAGAAGAGGGGAACAGATACACACACACATGCACCCTAATCAGACTTGAGTATGAAGACAGTATGGAGAGACAGGGATGCTGGGAGCCAAAACCAAATGCGAGCCTGAGAAAACAGCAACATCCAAAGGAGTAACCAGGGAAATTAAAAGGTTGGGGGAGAGGGTGAATTACATAAGAAGTTTAACATAAGATATAGTATAGAGTTTGAGAAACCCTAATAAAACATCTAAGAAAGGTGATCCAGAGGAATTTAGAAATGACAGAGGCCAGAGCTGAAGAGTTTATAAGGTTGTCTCTGGAACAGTATTACTGAGGTAAACTTCACAGGTCTTGTATACAACACCTCCTTGGTGAAGAAACAGAGATTAAGGGATATTAAATCAATTGCTCAAGATGTCATAGCTAGTTAGTGGAAGAGCTAAGACAAGGAATGGGTCCCTGATTGTACCTAAATCCACTCACAGATAAGTGGTAGTTGATATTAGGAGAGTAAAAATGTCTATTAAATAAGAATGGATATATGTATAGATCTTCCTTAACTAATGATGGGGTTACATTCTGATAAGCCCTTCCTAAATTGAAAATATCATGAGTCAAAAATGCATTTAACACACCTAATCTACAGAACATCATAGCTTAGCCTGACCCACCTTAAATGTGCTCAGAACACTTAATGTTGACTATCTCATGTAACTTACCGAATAATGTACTGAAAGTGAAAAACGAATGGCTGCATAGGTGCAGCATGGTTGTAAGTATATTGGCTGTTTCCCCTCCTGATCACGTGGCTGACTGGGAGCTGTGGCTGCTGCTGCCGCCCAGCATCTAGCCCAGGAAAAGATCAAAATTCAAGATTCGAAGTATGGTTTCTACTGAGTGCATATGGTTTTTGCACCATCATAAAGTTGAAAAATCCTAAGTTCGAATCATGGTAGACTGGAGACCACATATAGAGAAAAGAAGGTTGAAGATAAGAGGGCACCTACATTGGAGATGTAAAGACAAAGAGTCAGAGGAAGCAGTTAGAAAAGTAGGAAACAACCCCCTCAAGACCAGTGTGTCTCAGGAGCCAGAGAAGACAGAGTTGCAAGGACAGGGTAGTTTAGTACTATGATCAAATGGTAAAAGATAAGGATTAAGTACTGAGAAAGAAGAAAGAAATTAATCTAAAGAGAACAGAAGAAAGGCATTAATAAAGGTAAGACTAAAAATTAATGAAATGGGGAAAAACACATAACAGAAACATCACTTCGGTTCTTTCAAAAGAATCATATAACTTACAAACATCTGGTAAGTTAAAATAAAATAAAAGAGAAGGAGCAAATAATTTAAGGATAACAGAAAGGGCACAATCAAAAAATGTCACAGAAACCAAAAAAGATATTGTGAACCAATATAATTAAAACTTAGAAACAGATAACTCTCTAGAAACTAAACTTATCAAGATTGACTCAAGAAGGAAGAAAAAAAAAAAAAAAGCCAAAGAGTCCCACAGCATTTGAAGAAACTGAATTAGTAGATAAAAATCACCCCAAAAAGAAAATGAAAAGCCCAGACAATTTTACTCTGCTTGCTTCCAAAAATTCAAGGAAAAAATAATTCCAATCCTATATACCTTTTCCAGAATGGGGTTAAAAAAAAGGAAACACTTCCAAACATTTTATGAGGCCAGCATAACCTTGATACCAAAACCTGACAAAGATAAGTATGAAAAAGAAAAAAGAAAAAGCAAAAAACAAGCCAGCTGTACTCATTAAATATATGGAAATATCCTAAATAATAATAACAAAAATAATCTAGTAAGATAAAATATTGTGACTAAGATGCATTTATTCCAAGAATGCAAGATTGGTTTGGGGTTAAAAGAAATTCACATAATATGATTACCTACATTCATTGAAGGGGGAAAATCATACAATCATCTCAAAGGATGCAGAAAAATGCTTACATAAAATTCAATATCCACTTATGATAAAAATTCTAGGTGTAGGAACAGAAAGAAGCTTCTCTAACTTGACAAAGAGAACATTAAATGCACTCCCTTTAAGATTAAGAACAAGATAAGGGTGTTAGCTATTGGAAGGCTTAGCCAGCAAAATAAGGCAAGAAAACAGGTAAGTTGGGAAAAAGAAATAAAACTTTCTTCTTAGATAATCTGATTATGAATATAGAATATCCTAAGGAATGTAACAATGTATTATCAGAATAAGACAGTTTAATAAGGTTGCAACACACAAAATCTATTTAAAAATTGCCTTTGTGGGCTTCCCTGGTGGTGCAGTGGTTGAGAGTCCGCCTGCCGATGCAGGGGACACGGGTTCGTGCCCCGGTCAGGGAAGATCCCACATGCCGCGGAGCGGCTGGGCCTGTGAGCCATGGCCGCTGAGCCTGCGTGTCCGGAGCCTGTGCTCCACACCGGGAGAGGCCACAACAGTGAGAGACCCATGTACCGAAAAAAATAAAAAATAAAAAAATTGCCTTTGTTATACACCAAATGAAAAAAATTTAAACAATTTTATTTATAGCACTTAGAAAATATAAAGTCCTGGGAATAAATCTCTCAAACTACAGCAAGTCCTATAAGCAGAAAATTATAAAACTTTATTTTAAAATAATAAAGAAGAAATAAATAAAGGCTCACTTATTGAAAGACAACATTGTAAAGAAATCAGTTCTTCCCAGATTCATCTATGGATTCAAAGCAATTTCATATCAAAATCTCAACAAGTTATTTTCTTTCTTCTTTTCTTTCATTGTCTTTCTCAGGGCGGCGTGTGTATAATTGACAGGCTGAATCTAAAATTTAAATAGAAAGGCAAAGAGCCAACATGTTCTATAAAACAAAAAGTAGAGGGACTTGCACTATCAAGATATCAAGACTCATCACAAGGCTATAATAATTAGAAGAGTGTGATATCAGTGCAGGGATAAACAAACAGATCAGAAAAGAGAGTCTGGAAACGAAGCACATATCTTTGGACACTTGAAACGTGACAGAGGTGGTACTGCAA